TAATTATAGCATAGTTTGAATCTTGCAGCTCAAAGCTCTGAGGCAGGAAATCGAAATGCGAATGCGAAACAGTGTTCAACATGGACAGACAGTTAGTCCTGAGGTGAGTAATATTTTTTAACAATCATTGTTTATTTATGATGAACCTCTGATTTTAGTTAATGGTTTTGTATTATTATGTCAATGTTTATATTAGGTGATATCTCTGAGTGTGAAAGGCCCAGGACTTCATCGCATGGTGCTGGTTGACCTTCCAGGAATTATTGGGGTGTGTTTTAATGGATTCATTTTTTCTCTTTTTTTTCTTTAACTACTGCTATGGTAAATTTTGCTTGAAAAGATGTTAAGCCACAAGGAACAAAATTTTTTTCTTTATTTATTTTCATTTTGTATAATTAAATGGCAAGAGTGAAGAGAACATACTATTTTATTTTTCAGACAATCACAGCTGGAATGGCAGAAAACACAAAGGATGACATTGTTGAAATGAGCAGGTTGGATGTTGTTCACCCTTTAATTCCCATTAGAGACCAGGACAGAATTTCTCCTTACTATATCTAACATGCAGACAAGTGATGAGAAGAAAGAAAATAGCAATTATCAGATTACTAATTGATCTGATACCAAATTCTCCAAACTAAGATAATGAAGATTGTTTGGTAGACAGTAAGGAGAATTACTAATGAGATCTTGGGAGTTATAGGGTTAAGGAACTTTGCAGTTAATTTTTCTGTGATTTTAATAATTTGTGATTTTACATTTAAGCTTCTACAAAATTTTATGTGACATGCTTTTGTGTTACAATCAAAGCAATTATAATTTGTGAGAAGTGATAACTTCAAGAATTACATTCGAGAGCTATGGATTTAAACATCCTCTTTGAATAATTTCAGGAAGTACATGCAGAACCCAAATGCAATAATCTTGTGTATTCAAGGTGAGAAGCAGCTTACATTTGGTAAAAGGTAGCTGATATTTAGAAAACAGAATTTTGACTTGAGTTGTCTTTTGTCTTAGTCAAAGTTTTTGTAAGTTAATGACAGTGCTTCTAGAATACTGTGAAATGTAATGTTTGTGTGTCAAACAGATGGCTCTATTGATGCTGAAAGGAGTAATGTCACTGATTTAGTGAGCAGCATGGATCCAGCAGGTATGTAAAAAAAAAAATAGTGGTAATTCATTAATATACTTCAAATTCTTAAAGTCCTGAGATCTGATTTTAAATTCTCCCCTCTAGCTGCTACACAGTTTCTTGTAAATTAGTTATAAGAATTTACTGTTAGATCCAGATAACAACTTCTACTAAAATGTTTGAATAATCTCATCACTTGTTAACTGAATAGTGTATGGATATTTTAGGGAGAAGTTACTTGTTAATCACTTCTGGGCGTTGGAAGGTTAAAAGCAAGTCAAGGTTGTTCTCATATGAGCAAAGGAAAAAAACGCTGGTAGATGAATTACAATTGTGGGAGCAGTTTTTTTTTTCAGCCAGTTATTCTGTGTTACAAAATGTGATTTTCTGTACTTCTACAGGGAAAAGGACAATCTTTGTGCTGACAAAAGTAGACTTAGCAGAGCAGAACGATGCCAACCCCAGCCGGGTATGAATGTTTGACATTTGGTGAGATTTTCAATCTCTCCGAACTCAGTCCATTTTGAATCACTAACTAATGCTGTTATTTCATCATTAGATTAAACAAATACTGGAAGGGAAGCTTTTCCCAATGAAAGCTTTGGGTTACTTTGCAGTTGTGACTGGAACAGGTGAGTGAAAATATTTCAGGCAATCAAGATGCTTTGAGTTAATAAGATAGTCGTTTAATCGCTTCAACGATAGGGAAATGCTAAAAAAATAACTGCTCGTTGGCTGTTCTAATTTTGGCTGTATTTAATGCACTTTCAGGTAATACCAGTGAAGGGATTGACGCCATTCGTGGCTATGAAGAAGAATTCTTCAGACACTCTAGACTTTGCAAGTAAGTGTCAATGTTGTGAGCGCGTAAGAAGCAAAGAAGTAAACATAGAGTACCGCTTTCGTGTACAGCAGCATTGCACGCGTTTGATGCGCGTGTAATTTCCTCGCACTAGACGCGGGAAATACGCACATCGCACGCCACGACATGCACCTGCGTGTGATAACAAATGCTCATAAGAGAGTGTAAAACACGTGTTAATTACACAAAATCAGTCAAGTAGAAGTCATTAAATGCGTGCACTGACACAAAACTGCGTGTAATGGGACAAAAAAAGATTGGATTCCTTGCGAATTTAAAATGCGTGCGTCACGACGAAATGATCAATTTTCATTGCTTCCGCTGGAAGGTTATTAACAATAACAACAGTGAGCCTCCAAAAATATCCTTGATGTACAATAAACGACTATATTATCTCCTGTAGTAAATTTTGTCTTTTATTTGCAGTGATTGTTTCGCAGATTTTGTTTTTTAACTGTTTCGTTGTCATTTTCCAATTTTTTTTGTCTTATTATAAAGGTCTGGAGTTTTCAAAGCCAGTCAAATGACGACGCAAAACCTGAGCTTTGCTGTTTCACACTGCTTCTGGAAAATGGTGCGAGAATCGATTGAGCAGCAGGCAGATTCGTACAAAGGTATGAACCTTTTACACCCTAACATCAGTATGCATATTCTCCATAGTGTTCTTTATACATTTCCTAAGGTGCTGACAAGGAGAATTTGTTGAACAATCAAGAGCTACTTTAGTTGGTGATCATTTCCTTTTATTCTCGTGACCTCAATATGTGATTCAAGGGTGATATTGTAAGGAGAAATTAGATGCTAGTCACTCTTAGAGGTCGAATGGTTAAGTCCCTACATTGCGAATTGTACTGGGCCTTTTCGATATTTGTTATCGGGAGTGAATACAGGAACAGCGGAGCCGTGAGTAGAATGAGGGCCGGAAAGTTCTCTTTTTCCTTCCCTGTCCTTTGTCTTTGTCGTATTTCAGTCACTGAAGAGAAGAAATGGAAAATAATTGTGTGTTTTTGGTTTCTTTCAGCGAAGCGGTTCAATCTTGAAACGGAATGGAAAAACTGTTTTCCGAAGCTGAGAGAGTTGGACAGGGTAAGTTTTGGTATTGAAAATTAGTTTTGTGTAGCGTGTTCTATATATACTACAGGTTTGCTTATACAAAAGGGCTGCATCTGGTGTAAAATAAACCCGCGGCATGGAGACGCTCTACAAAAGAATTGATTAATTTTGGCAAATCGTCGGATGTAACCGAAAATCTTACCGAACAATTCCAACTAATCAGGATTAATACATAGACAGGCGTTACAGTAATACTTTGGCGCCATAATTTTGTCGGTATGTCGTATGCAGTAGAAATTCCGTCCCTTCCCGTCGCGTGCAAGTCGCGTCTTCTCCAAGCTCCGAAATAATTAGGACCCTTTAAACTATCTCTAATTGAGCGTCGCCCTTAAAAATCTTGTTTTCTACAGAATGAGCTGTTTGATAAAGCTCGTAACGAAATCCTGGATGAAGTGCTTACCCTAAGTGAGATCACGCCACAGATGTGGGAAGACATCATCACCAAACACTTGTGGTCGGCGGTGTCTTCACACTTCATAGAAGCCATCTACTTGCCCGCCGCACAGGCGGATAATCCAAGCAATTTTAACACGTCTGTTGACATCAAGCTGAAACAGTGGGCCGACAGGACACTGCCTGATATTTCTGTCAAGGTATACACAATCTGTTAATCTTTTCACTCTCGAGATCTCATCAGTAATTCCCCTCACTGCTTTACATGTAATTCTTCTGATGTTAGTTTGGAGAATATGGTATGGGATCAACCAATAATCCCCTAATTGAGATTTTCTTCTATACTCTCCTCACTTGTCCGCTTGATTATATATTGATGTTGTGAGGAGAAATTCCATGTTGGTCGCTCATTGGAATTACAGGGTTAATCCTGTTACTCTTAAAAGTGACCAAAAAGTAATTTCTCCTTACAATATCGGTATATTATCAACCAAACAGTTGATGAGATGAAATACAAAATTAGCTCTTGAAATTGAATTGATGAGCACTAGATTCTCAGAACTAACATGATAAAAATTGTGCAATCGGCGGTGGGGAGAATTGCGTTTGGCTTCTCAAGGGGGAAAGGAGCAATAAGGCAGTGCCCTATCAACAAAATGACAGCGTCCACTTAGAGTTACAGTGACAGATAGAAAAACGTACGAAGTGCTAATGTGGACTTCAAATTTGAAGGACACACCGCGCCATTTTTAAAGGTTTTTTAACCCGAAAAATTATAAATTAAGATAAAAATAATGGCTTGTTGTGATCGAGAAACACTTCAGAGGTAAAATGAACTAAAAAGGAACGTCTGATGGACAAATATTGAAAAGATTAACCTGGATTTAAATTTATGAATTTGAAACTTTTAGAAGACATCCTGTAATTGTGACGTTTTGTCTCTAAGCATTTGTGTCATCGGAAACTTTTGATTGTCACTGTTAGGTTGGTTGGGAAACACTCTTCGAAGAATTCTCCAAAGCAATGCAGGTAAAACTTAATTTTTTTTTCCTCTCGACTTTTGAAGCATGCTTTCGTTCCCTGTTTTAAATTGTGCAAGCTGTGTATTGTTTACAGGAACAGAAGAATGATAAAGACGGGCATAGCCACTTATTCGAGAAACTCAAATCTGAACTATCAGATGAATGCAAAAGAAGCCATGTGTGGCAGTCAAAAGCCGTGGATAGTCTGGTGAGTTGTGAAGCTTATAGCGGAGCTCGCAGAGCGTAGCCCCATAATTATACAAAATAGTAGTAACCCATAAAGCCGATAAATTTGGACGTACGACCGTACAAGGTGCTACTTTTAACATGCGTGGTCAACTGTACCGCGGGCACGCCAACGCCACGGCTGTGTTCAGTAGTCCAGTGGTCAGTGCGCTAGGCTTCGAGTCGGACGACCCGGGTTCTAGTCCTGGCCGGGAGAAGGCGTTGTGCCCTTGAGACGTGCGGGAAAAAAATGCGAGCTCCGCTTTTAGGCTTGGCTAAATCTATATATTACAAACAAATTAGTTGTATTAACGCGAATTACCAAGCCGCATCTGATTGGTTAATACGTTAAGGCGAGTTTTCAAGACTAAAAGCAGAGCGTTTAAAACAAACCCAATACAAATTGCTTTACAACTGCAAGTAAATGGAAACTGCTTCTGTGTTAATATGTAGCCCTTGTGTTCCTTTCAGCGAGTAATTCAGCTGACAGCACTTGAAGACTGGTCTGTGAGTGAGAAACAACAATGGGACTCTGCAGTGAAATTCATGGAAGGAACCTTGCAAGAAGAATTAGACAAAGGTATCAAAACAAGCACGGATACTTTGTTTTTCTCTTCACAGTGGTGATAATGTTTGACTACCTATCTTAAGCAGGATTAAGCTTGCCGGCTACAAATGGATTTTATCACCTTCAAGCCGGCAGAATAGACGTTATCTCAACTTTTTTTAAGAATGTAGAGGACGAGAGACGCGCGCGTTTCCCCCCTCGTGCGCGTCTCGCCTTGTGTGAAGGAAACGGGAGAAAGAACTGTTTGCCTCGGGGGAAGCAAGTAGGTTAATTGTGAGAAGTAGTTCTTTGTCACGGAGGAGTACCGTAGTAGTAGTTGTAGTCCCTTTATATTATGGAAACCGAGGTGATCCGTGGCAGTGATCATCTTTTGAGACAGTCTGTAAAAAAACTTTTCATGATCATTTCAGCGTCTAAGGAAATGTATGACTTGCTTGGTCCTGGAAGGGCTGAGAGATGGTTTTACTGGAAATACAGAAGCAGAGAGCAAGTAAGTCATCGTAATGAATTGTGGACAGTTGTCCCCCTTAAATCCGAAATCGGGCTAAACCGCCCGAAATGAAACATAGGTGTCCTAAATTGGAAAGAACCTTTCGAAATCAATGGATGGTCTCCAGTTAACACCAGAAGTTCTTTCGTCAATCAGGCGATTTTTACCTTGTTTCATCTTTTCCCGCTGGTTTTTTTCATTAATTTTCTCTTTGCTCATTCGCTCAATTTCCTTTTGAAGAAGTAGGGCTTTTCAAAATCGAAAGAAACCGTCTGAGATCCGACGCAAGTGCGTAAAATAGGACGATAGCCTCTGAAATCGGACGTCCAATATCTGTTTAATTTGTCGTGTCCGAAAATCAGGCAGAAGTGTTTTAATACGGCAAAAGTTTCAGAAATTGGGACTAAGTTTCTGAAAACGGACTAAACGTTTGAGAACGCAGTCGTACGATAGCGTCCGAAATCGCAAATCAGCGTCCAATAGATGTCTATGGGGTTTCTTGAATAAACTGGAACCTATTTTGTCTTGCCTCATGAGCAAAAGGAAAGAGGCGTAACAACTTATTGTTTTTATTTTTATTATTATTATTACTTAAGCAACACCGTTCCTATATAAAGGACGAACTCCAGAGGTTGCTCCAAGCACACGAGGTAAGCTCAGCTTTATTGAGAACAAATTTACATGTTTTCTTATTTTTTCTCTCACTTAAACCGTTTGCATGAAATCCTCTCCTACTCTTTCAAGGAAATTGAAAAGGAGCGTTACACGGTAGAAGATGCAATTCTTTGTAACCCTTCGAACTGTAAGAGTGTCCAGCATCCAATTTCTCCTTAAAACATCACCCCTGAATCAAGCATTAAGGTTACGAGAATAAGGCAAATGATCACCATCTGAAAAAGCCCTTGATGGTAACGCAATTTCTCTTCGACAGCACCTTTGGAAATGTATAGAGAACAGTATGGATTATATCTATACTAATGATAAGATGTAAAAGGTTAATCCTGTTTTTTTGCTGAAATATTTGAAGAGACACGGTCCAGTTCTAGCGGACGATGAACTTACCACAGTAAGAAAAAACTTGGAAACGATCAGCGTGGACGTCTCGCCAGACCTGGTTAGTGGCTGATGTGGTTAATTTTTCTCTTTCTTGGCTATGACGTCTTTTTGGTGCATACTTTGAGAATTTTGAGGCACATCGAAGCAATTTTTGTCTAAGTTGTTTAGTTTCATATTTAACTACTTTTTAGACAGTGGGATTTTGTTCTTTTTATAGCAAATTTTGTGTTTCTTTCCTTTATTTATTTATTTTTTAATGATTTATTTGTTGAATTAGTTATTTAATTTTTCTATATTATTATTATTTTATAAGGTAACTGAAACTTGGAGCCAGTTGTATCGGGAGCACTTTTTAAAGCAGGCCCTGGGGAACGTTCAGGAATGTAGAAATGCTTTCTACAGAAGAGATTTGGTCAAGAATGAGGTACAAGAGGCCTGGTTTCTATTTCAGTATTTTTATACTTCAGGAGAAATCCTCATATCCTCATATATAAAAGAAGACCGATAATATTGAAATTTAATAGTGGACTGACGAAAACTTTGAAGAAAACGATATCTTTGGTATATTTTTGTTTCAAACAGTGATGTGAGCGTGACTTTGTGTAGCCTGCGAGCAGTGCCTCCTTTTTCTTATGAGCAGCGCCTCAGCACGAGTGTTTCAGCGTGAACTGTTACACTAATAATGAGGACGGCTATGATTTGTGGGGGGGGGAAAAAAGGTCGCAAGAGTCGAATACAATCTTGATTAAGGGTTTTTATATTGAAAGCCTCTGTTTATTGGTTAGGAAATCGCACGTATATCAAGAAAAACGGAGGTAAGCTGGGGGGGTATGTTTAGGATAATATGACGAATGTAACTTCGCAGAAGTCTCTTAAAAAAAAACAGCGAGAATAAGGCCTGCAGGATAAGAACGGTGGGGTGAGGTGATTCGAAACTATCCATGTACCAGTCTTGACGAACGGGGTAGGGGGTAGGGTGGGAGGAGGGTCGGAGGAGATGAAACACGTTGAAGTTCATTTACAAGCTACACTTTTCGTCCATTTTTCTCTTTTTAGCTGGCATGCAACGACGTGGTCCTATTTTGGCGAATCCAGAAGATGCTACAAACTACAAGTAACGCCATTAGACAACAAGTAATGAACCATGAAGGTAACTTAGCCAATATTGACCTTCCTTTGTGTGGCCCTTACTACCTTTGTAATAATTGTACCAAGGGTCGTTTTTGTTCTTCTTAAATTGACCTCGTCTTCAAATCTTGTAGCTCGCCGACTGGAGAAAGAGGTGAAACAAGTTCTGGATGAAATAAGCTACGATCAGACAGCTAAAGAGCGACTCATTCGAGGAAGACAAGTGGATCTTGCCGAAGAATTAAGTAAGTGAATTCTTGTGTGTCGTTCTAAGCTCCTCTTAACTTTTTACACCTTCACATCAGTATGCATATTCTCCTCACTTTTCTCTGTATATTTCCTGTGGTATTACAAGGAGAATTTGTCAAACAATCAAACGCCTCTTTAGTTGGCGATTATTTCAAATACTGTTCCTTGATGAAATTTACCCAGACGAAAAATATTTTTGGCTAGAATTCAAACTTTTTGTCTTTAAAACAACGAAAAAAGTGTGAAATTTCACGATCCATTGTAAGATGTTGTCAAAAAGTCATAATTTCAAGTAATCCTTGTTTCTTTGGTTACACTCTTTACACATGGCTGGCTTGCCAATCTCTGCCATATTACTCCCCGAGTGAATATTTACATAATTTCATTTCACAATGTTACTGGATAAACCTGAAGTTAAACAAACGATACACAGAACTAGATTTCATGTGATTTGAAAGCCCGAAACCATTAGCAAAGCAAAACTTTTGACTCGGTTTTTATTGTTTTTAAAAATCCATGCGAACCCAACCAGACGCTTGGGAGCACAATTTTCTCAGAGTATTCAATTGTTGTATTCTTCACAAACGTATCAGCTCAATATAATTAATATCAAAGCGTTAATGATCTGCTAATGAGTCCATCGTTCCAAAATTCTTTTCCCTGGTAAATTTGGACGTGATTTTTGTCGTGTGAATCTTGAATTTGCCTTATGCTCTTTTAAGACTTGTAAGTTTCTCCTCCAAAATGCGAAACTGTCAAAGACGCCACGTGCTAGGGTGGGTGTTCGGCTCTTTAATTGGCGAAGGGAAGAGAAAATTGTCGGAGTAACGTGTGAAAATTTTGGAAATCTTTTTATTTTTCTGTGGTGCCATTTAGTTCGCTGGGATAAATCACACTCCACGATGCACGGTATTTTTATACTCTTTTCGAACCCGGTTATTTTTTGTAGCAAATAAAGTCGCAGTCCGGCCAAATGTGCCGATTTGCAAACTTATCACCCCTTACCTCATCCTCTTTGCTCTCCCGTCGTAGATGGACACGTGCCACTGAAATAGCCAACCACAAGATACAACTCTTCTAAAGGGTCCTATGTCGAAGGGTGGTAAAACATCAGAAAAAAAGCCCCAGCTAGCTTCGTTTGATTTTCTCTACGTCTGTGCTCTCTAGAATCCTTTTTTATTTTATTTTTCCGCCCCTGTTATGATAATAATGGTTTACCCCAACTTTATTATAATTTTGGTTTCTTTTCTCTTTTAAATTTCAGAACATGTGAGACACATTCAAGAAAGTCTGGAACAATTCATCGAAGCTTTGAACAGCGAGAAGTAGATTAAAATTCGATAGAGTAATCTTACGGAGTCCAAGTTGCATATACCACACACGACCGAAAAACTTGTAGGTGATTAATAAGATCCATCGACTGGCTTTTTTTCTTGCTTTTTACTCTGTAAATTTGTGCTCGAAAGAGATTTCCTCTCAGGTCCTGTATCGCATCCTTGAGTGTATTGTGAGCAATACTGAATGTTTTTTCACTGAAAATGAGCATAAAATAAAGAATTGTGTATAAATCGGGTACCATTATCCTTTTCCTTGAGGTTTGTACAATTGAGTTATTTGGGTTCATTACGGAAAAGATTTCCTAGTAAAATTTGTGTGAACTGTTTGTGAATTTTGTTAGGTCTGTGATCCTCTTCTTGCTGAAATGTCTGAGCAGAGTTTACCCAGGGAAGGATGAGGGACTTTACACATCTTGACCACAGTTTTGTTGTCGTCTGTGATTGTTGTCTTCTTTCAAAAGAAAAACTTTTGTCAGACGCACGGGCTTACTTAAATTTGTAATCAAGTGTTAACCGTTTTCCTATCACCTTCAGTTCACAAAGTTGCTAATAGTTAATTTGTCTTCGGCTCAATTTTGGCTGAATTTGTAGAGGACGCGAAAGAGTTTTAACGTGGCGCGTGATCAAGGCAAAAACTGAATATGTGACGCGTGAATTTTACAGAAAAGCGAGAGTGATTCGTGAATTTGTGAAACAGTTTGAGGCGTTCTATAACTCCCGAAACATACGTGACCCGTGAATTAATTCTTCTTTTGTTTCTTGAAAACCTTAGGATTTTTCTGAAACGTACACAAGAAGAGAGTTGAAATTTTCTCTTTTACATACGTTACACGTGAATTTTTGTCAAATTTGTGTTTGAAACGGGATCAGGACTCCCTCTTTGCTGTCCTCTTAGTGACGAGGATAAATCAGTCACATAAGACAACTTTCCAGGAACATTAGGTAATGAACAAATACGAGAATTTTACTCAGTGTAGTTTTTGTATCAAGGGCTGGATGTTTACCTTTGTCCTGTCGAATCCGACTGAGATGAATGAAAGACTAACCACACATGCAATTCTTGTACCAATCGCGTATCAACGTGTTTATGTAAACCCTTGTTGTCAAATTATGACGAGGGACATGCGTATTGAGAGGAAAAGATATGTAATCCACAGACTTTGATTAATTAATGACTAGACATACACCTAGACATACACCTAATTCATACCCAAAGTTAAAACACGTTTCAAGGCTGTGTTGTTAAACACAGTTTGAGAAACTGATGTTTGTTGCCTTCCAATTTAGCAAAAATGGAAGTACAAGTTGATGATTACTTAAACCCCACGTAAAAATTCAGTTTTTCAGGTTTTTTTTGCTGATTTTATTACTCAGCTTCGTCTACTTTGGTAGTGTGAATGGGGTAAAAGTCTTATGAATAAAAAGCTTTTTTTAAACGCCGAATGTTCAAATTGTATCAAATTTGAAAGCTGAAACTCAATGAATACAAATGTCAATGTTTCATCTGATGCTCTCTAAAAATTTTATAGAAATGATAGCAGGCAAAGAAATTTTCGAAAGATAGCACTCGGATAATAACCGACTTTTTCTTCAGCCGTTGAAATATTTTTTACACGAAAAAGTCGTTAAAGAGCTGGTTCAATTTGGATGATGAACTTTTAAGATATTGCAGAAGTTTTCATGGCTTTTGAGAGACTCGCTTGGACATTAACGATAAAGGCTCAACCTTTAATGCCTTAAACCCTTGTGGAAGTAAAACTCATTCATCTCTTGTCTCGATCACACCTTCGTAATATTGGCTTTCGATTTCACGACACCTGGATGAAACTGTTGTGTGGCGCCAGGTTGAAGTAACACTTCACGTGAAGCTGAAAATTTTCACACGGATAATCTGCAGATTTGATCTTGAATGGCATCTGAAACGTCAATCATACTTGACGGGAAGGTCATATGGGGCCTGGAACGTTATAATTCGGCAGTTCACATGGATGTAGCGGGGCAAGGTACCTCATTTCTTGACAAACATTGAAAACTTTGCAAGAATCTTGTTACAGTTGACGTGAAAGCAATGGAAAGCGCTCTAGCCAAGGTAACGCAATTGTATGACTAATTCAGACAATAGACATATCTCGAAAAAGAATCGGAAAAATGTAGTTCCAGAGCCAAATCTTAATTTTTGCTTTGCATGGATTTGGCGGTCCGGCCCATGTAGAAGACAGAAAGAAGGCAAACGAAACAACTTGTGGAAAAACAGCGAAGAGACAGGATCAAGAAAAGCTTAGAAGAACTGGCCTCGCTTATTCCAGAGGCTAGAAAACAGGTAACCGATTTTGAAAATTTTTATGAGCAGTTTGGCTAGAACTTTACTGGAGCGCGGTTACCGCTAATATCATACTCTGATCAAGGGTCTTTCCACGCTGATGCGACGAAAACTGGATTTTGCATCAACGTGGCAGTTTTCTAAAGTAATGATTAATTAACAACTTTAAGCTCAATTCACATGAAAAAAGAAATCGACTTTGCATATATATGCAGCCGGAAATGGTTTGTTTATGAATAAGTAATTCTCTCGCAGACCCAGTCGCGTTAATTTCCATAAGGAAGTCAGAATGTCGGTTGCTGTTAACAAAAGGGGAGTTGTTGCTACCAGCTTTCCTTTCTTCAAAGGAGAGTTTCTTAGCAAGGAAATAGGTTCCTTACCCAGTATGCCATTTACGATACAAATTCGTAGATTTACAGATTCATCATGAAGCCAAATAAATCCTCTGACCCCCTCCCCCCACCCCCCTGCCACATTCAAAGAGAAACGCCTAGGGGGCGAGGTTGACCCTATTCTCATCTCAGAACCCCTCTGTTCTGTGAGCTGACGGGGCGTTCGCTTAACAAATCAAGAGGCTATTCGATTTCTTGCGCTAAGGCTTTGCTTGCCAAAAGAAGCGAAGATGTTTAGGAATTATAATGGATAGAAAAGTGAACTCCCGAGGAACTGGGTGCTAGTTACCATTGCTATTCAATTTATCAACAGCTACAACTTGGCCACCGATTAAGGCAAACAAAGATTCTTCAGCTAGTTGTGGATTACATTCGATCCAGTCAACAAGGTAACTAAAGCTCAGAGAGAATAAAAACTGCATAAGCTTTCTGTTATATACCAAATGGTAAAACATTGAAACAAAGACAAATTTATTTTTCTCCACAGAACGCGAGAATTTTAAACTTTATGATACCACTTCGTATCAAACTTGTTGCTTGTGTTCCTTTTGCGAGAAACGGCTCTTTGTTCACGAAACTGATACATTTTCATGCACTGATGATCTCAACGTGAAGTTATCACGAGCGCCCGTAGAAGCATCGGTCAGGGGAAGGGAAACGTCATTCCCTCCCAAGACCTGTCCTTTCAAAGTCAATAACGTTTCTGCCGAAACTGGTTATGACAAAAGAAAACCTGAGGAACGACTTGAGGAGAAGAAAGACGGTGTTGCCGTGGAAACCACGTGTAAGGGACCCTTAAATGCCCTCAAATCTTTGTGTTCTTCAATTTCTCCACATTTCCCGCCCCACACCATCGGAATATCAAGTGGCCTTCACTCCAAAAACTCCACCTGGTTTGTTTCGGATTCCATGTTACATCAGCCGACATCTTTCGGGTTGGTCCCTCAAGTACCTCCACCTACCACTGATCGACAGACACTTGCTGCTCCAGAGAATCAAAATCTATGGAGACCCTGGATTTGTGGACATGACTGCAAGAATGATTAGGACTCTAATCTCTTTCGCAGCCATCGCCTGGCTACATCACACAGCGTACTCTCGTCCCAACCTCGTTCCCGGGGTCCTCTCTCGTCCTCTCCCGATATTTTTCTTGAAGGAGGATGAGAGAGGACGTTGGGAACAAGGTTGTTCTTGTCACTCGTTACTTAATGGGAACAAACAAAAGGTGTTCAGGAGAATATTAAGACATTCAAATTAGACGCTCAACATGAAAAAAAAAAACAATAAAGGTGCCTCTCTCTCGTTTACTTTATTCAATCAACCCCCCTTTTAAAAATGGGGCGAGTGATTATCGCTCCTTTAGCAATGTACTGTTTGCATTCAACCTAAAGTTTGTGCCAGTAAACGTTGGGTTCGTACCTTGCTGTTTCTTTCGAGAATACCTTATCTCAGAATATCTCAGAATGAAATCATTTGAGAAAAACTGGAGTAGCAGCATATTGGTTGTAGTTTATAAATATCTATCAATTTTGTTCCTTATATCCCATAACAATTTTAGGGGACAACTGTGAAAATACTTAGGACAGCATTGCGTGAGGTGTAAAAGCTTCAGAGCAGAGATACAAAATGATCAAAGTAAACGGTTAGTCTTAAACAAACGCCTTTTCTAGGCTCTATTGATTCACATTCCTGCTTAAAAGCGAAAATTGCACACTGAATCTATGGATCAATATCAGTCTCCGGGCAACTGCCCACCCACCCCTCCCTTAACCCAACATTAACGTTAAATTGTTGTCAGTTGACTGTTGTTGAGTTAAGGGAGGGGTAGGTGGGCAGTTGCCCAGATACTGATATTGATCCGAAACTCTTTTATGCCACTCTCTCTGTACTTCCAACGGTTAATGAGTCTAAAGATGGGACCGATCACTTCCTTCCCCCGCACCCCCCTCTTACCCCTATAGAGAAGTCAAGACTGAAAAAAAATTGTCTAAAGAACGAATCAATCCTTGGAGACGTCATACCTAACCTCTTCCTCAGATTGAGGCAAATAAAATTATGAAAAACACACAGAAGCTGGTCTGAGACCCTGTGTGCAGGTAGAAAAGAAGAAGATTATAATTTTTCTTACCTTCTTACTGTGAGTTTAATTTGATTAAATGTCATTTTAAGGTTTTGCACCGTAAAGTGATTCTGTTGAAGATCCTAGAAAAAAATTTCGCTTTTTGATAAAAGTACTTCGGATCTACCTTCAAAAAGACTTCGAGATGACGGGGACCAAATTGTATGAGTTCCCTGAGTGGTTAAAATACTTTGGAGTGTATAGAGAGTGCCAATCACGGCACCTTCTTGCACGTCTTCGTCTGATTTTGGTAGTTCCATCCGATTTCGGGCACCAGTCTCCCGACCGAGTTCAGATATCTCTGTCCGATTTCGGATAATTTCGATCGATTTCGGACGTTCCCATTCAACTTTTGAAGAGTTCGGTTTGATTTCGGACACCTTCGTCTGATGTCGGACAGTTCCGGTCGAATCGGGAAAGGACAGACTTGTTAGGCAACATAATGTAAATTGAGATGTAAATAATCACAATTCACACTTAAAAACTAATTAGACTTTTCTCTTTGCTCCCCTCCCATGAACGTGACAATATTTTGCTAGCACATAAAAAAGGCGGGAACGTGTATGGACTTCTTATGCCGTGAACCCTGGTCGTGAGACAAGCGCGAGGCAGTTATACGCCGCACGCGCAGAAAGGGCGCCAAATGTCAAGGCAGGAGTTTCATAAACTGAGTTGTGCTTCCATTATGTCACCTAAAAAACCTGAAATGGAAAGAAAAAGACGGCAAAGAATCAACAATTGCTTATCTCAAATTAAACGGCTGATCCCTGAAGCCAGGGAGCTGGAGGTAGGTGCAGTCTGTGTGTCAGAATTAGCTGTCACCTTAGTAAAAGACCACGCGGAGTTTTCTTTAAGCGTGCTTCTTATACATTGAACCCACTGTTTTAGCTATCCCTTTATGTACTTTAATCTTAATGTTTGTATTTTTCGATCAATTTTGAACTCTTTCATTGGCTTATAGATCAAGAAAGGCTGCAGACTTGAAAAGGCGGAAATTTTGGAGATAACCGTCAAATTCATTCAGAGAGTGCAAAACGAGAAGAAAGCCGACAAACAGGGAGGTACGATTCCATAGAAAAACTTACAAGTTTTGATGGCAAATTTCTCGCAGTAACTACCACGGTTATGCTTGTTTTTTTTGCTTTTTTTCGAACCCAGACAATCCTCGATTCTCATGCCATACAACAATGAGACTCACCGCTATTTGAGTCGAAGAGGATGAGCAAAGTCTAAAAAACACGCGCCAAATTGTAATATAAATGAGCGAGACACTAGCTCGAAAGACAATTCTAATAAATTTCGTATCAAAACTCTCGAGCATCACAATGTAAGGGACAATGAGTTTCCTCTATCTTTGCTATTCTAAATTTTGATATAAAATGCTTGTTTACGACGTAATGATAAAGATAAAGCTAAACCATGACAACTTCGACCGTGCAGCAATTTGCCTCGTGCGGTATGAATGGAAATATAATTCACTGTACGTTCGACACAGTTTTCGAAATTACCTGCGTTTATCATCATCATCATTTCATGATTTTCCCTTAGAAACCACGGTAGGACTTGAAGAAACCCCTGCAATTTTCAACCAAAGTCCAGCACCGACAAGACTGGTATTTCAGAGCCAATTTGACATTCCACGAGAACAAACAGCGTCGCCATTCTATGCGACTCCCTCATATTATTTTAACTCAAATGAATGTGAATATGATATCAAAAACAACTCCCGGAACACACTTTATCGACCAGTGCTTCTACCCACTCCTCGTTATTTCACCCCTCGCTGTATTTCGTCTAACATCGTCTACGATTCTGTGAGAGATGGTGGTGACAGTTTTGGTTTTCCAACAAGACAGTCTGCTGTCGGTACAGTCCTGCACTGAACAGTAAACTTCTTAGAGATTCACGCACCGATATGGTCTTCATCGCGGTTTTCAGCATCTCGATGAGTAATTTTGAAAATTTCTCATTCATGGAAAAGTATTAAGAGTAACACCGTTTCAGTTGAGCTATATAATTAGAATTGTTGAGTTTGTGCGAAGAAAGCGAGCTTTTGAAACTGAAAACGTGCATGAATTAACTTTTAACTCGTAACCATCTATTGTCTTTATGGACTGAGCTGTTCATTTTAGATTCTTGATTTTAGTTTCATTACTAATCTTGGGGACTTCAAGCTGTTTTTTATTTGTTCACAAAGGATTTATAGTTCGATGGTGTTAACTAAATACATCTTTAAAAACTTACAATTTGAAATTTTATGAGGCCTTTCTTCGACAGAACATCTTTCTCATTTTTGAAAGCATATTTTTGGACATTTTAAGCTACGGGGTTGTGTTTAAATAAATCTGAAGAGCGAACATTCCTTGGCAACTTTGAATGAAAATTATTAAAACCGACCATAACTGCGTTAAAAACGTCTTTCACACAATCACAAGAAATATTTATGAGCTTACTTTTTCAGTTAACGCACAAAAGTTCCGAAATTTTTTTAATTTTAGAGCGAAATGCGTTTCCCTTGCAGACGTGGGAGTACCCACCCTGAAAGTATGATGAATATGTAAAGCTGAGTTATTGACCAATTTTAATATATATAACATCACATTTATGTTTGTGTTAAAAAAAAGTGGGAACTTTAACAAACATTCATACAAATAATACTGTAAAAGCCAATAATTATACCATAGTATCTAATAATTATTGAATATTTACAGTGTCAGGGAGGTTATATATACTTTTTCTTGTAAGTTTTGGTGATGCTGTGTTCACAATCTGACCGAAGCCCGCTAAATTTTCAGTTGATAAAGAGTACTCAGGAACTAATCCAGTCGTTGATCAAGTCTGAATTTCTTTGATATTGTAACCGGCAGTTTCCAAAAATTGAAAAATGAACTTTTGAAAATATTTGGTTCTCATTTGAATGGAATCAGTTACATTTAGTTTAAAGTCTTAAGGCAACAAGCAATAAATGTTCAAATTTCTTTTGTCATGCAATATATATATACAGCTTTTGTTCATGTTAAGGATGGAATTAATTTCTCTTAATATTTTAGTTTATCGGCTTTGTTCAAATAATTTAGTCACAAAAGTATGACCTGAAACACCGCCTCAAGTTGAACTAACGTTAAACACGGTAATTTAGAAAAAAAAATACTGTTTGCGACATGGGCTGATCATAAATAGACTCTTAACATTTTTGGTCTCTTTTTTACTATTAAGAATTAAAGGTTGCAGATAAAAAGTTCGATAAAATGGAAATTAAGTGTCGCATTTGATGTCAAACTTACTAATCAAAATAAATAACGAAATTATTTTTCAAAATTGAAAGCCTAAATATTGACATAAAGAATATTAATTCAATTCTACACAATGGCCTTGCAGCTTCATAACTCGTCGATCGTTACGGTTTGATTCAGGCCACTTCTGAGCTCATCTAGAAGCTTGTTGTTACTCTCGAGTAGTAGATTTCAACTGCTTCGCTCATCTTCCGCTTTCCTTCGCTTTATTTTTCTTCGTGTCGTACTCTTGTCTTTTGTTTTAGAAATACTTGGAGGCTTCGGGACAATTTCCGACGAGCCAACATCCTCTGAGGAGGAGCTTTTCATTGTAATTTTTTCATCAGTGGACAGCTGGGGCGAATTGTTTGCTTTGCAGGTAATATTCCCGTTATGTATTTTTGCAGGTGGGAGTCTGATCATTTCCGAACTTGTTTGTGGGCTTCGCCTAAGACCTTGGTCGCTTAAAACTACACTGTGAAACGAAGCAGATTTTGTCTTTGAATTTCCATCAATCTTAGGAAGAAACGGAGCTCTTTTTGTGGTTCTTAATTCCTCGTTTGAGAGTCTAAAAGGCCCTTTTTTGTCCACAGCTGGGAGACTGCTAGCTAATGTTCCTTCAGGTTTTGAAATTCCGTAAATTTCGGAAAGGTTTGAAGTTTTTCCATCCACTTTGCAAAACGCTGGAGAGCTGTTTACAGGCCATGAGGCAGAGGGCAGGGCTCGGGCATACTGCGTATAATTCTGGCTTCCATTCATAAACTTGTTTGGTACGAATACAGGGCCGAGAACTTGTTCACTTGCTCTGTTTTCGTTTTCATATGGTGTTGGCGGCCTTTCCGTGTTTGAAACCTTTCGCAGCGCCAAAACGGCGGGATCGACGCACCTTTTGACACTGAGTTTTTCATGATTACCTTTTTGAGCCTTGGAAATGTGATGTTCTTTCGGAGATTTCTTCGGCGACTGTTTCTTTTTCATCTCGAAGCGAAATTTTCGTTGAAAAATCCTACCTCTCAGGCAGGACCGGCTTGCAAGAAGACAGCCATGACTTTTTTCACTGACAACTGGCGCGAATTTCACGTCATAAAGGCGCGCGCCTGTCGCAAACTGGATCATTAAATAACCAATCAGAACACGTTATTTCGTGGGAATCCATTCAAAGACAAATTTCAAAAATCTATTTATTATTAACAAGTCTTCTGTTTTAGAAGATTAATTATGTTTTTTTTTTTAAATGTCAGCAAAGGTGCCGGAGAAATATATAGATCTTTTTTAATGTACGTGCTTGCAGCTACGATCTATTTTATTCTAAAACAATGAATTTATACCATTTGGATTAATTCCGGACACCAATCAGACATAAAGAATAGGAAAAAATTCAAAGGCTGATCTGATGTATTTGCAGTGGCTAAAATCTTTGTCTGGTTAAATTTTTCTACCAAATACTTTTTTTGTTATCATATCAAGCGAAAGTTGCTAAATCCACTTTTTTTTCCAAATATCTTTTTCAGGGCCAAAAATAAATTTTAAACTAGGACTGAAGACGTACAGCAGCGAGCGAAAAATGTAACTTAGTAGCTAGTCAATTTTGTGCCTAATAAAAGAAAGAAATAACTCGGTGCGTTTATCGTTCAACTAACTTAGCTAGTTATAATTACCCGTTGATTTCATAATAATATTTATTTTGGAACTCGTCCTCTAAGTTTATCCACATTTCTTTTTCAAAATGAGAGCATTTTTATAAAAGACTGACACAAACATCTGAAGTCGAGTGAAAAGAGAGCTAGTGCCTCTCTAGAGTAATTACAGAGTCGTAATTTTATAAGTTTAAAAAATCTCTTCTGAACTAACATTAGTTTCGTTTCGTTGTATTTAGTTCTCCTTTTTCCTTATTTGCCACGAAAGTAATTTACAGTAATTAATGCAAAAGAAGAAAAAAGACGGCTAGGAACCCAGTTCAATCACTAAGAGCTGCAAACTAAGGTTTCCTTGTGACAAAACAGGATCAATAAATTCACTGACAGATCCGTAGCGCGTGTCGTAGCGCGTTGACAGAACATTTTTGTAGAATCTGTAAGAGAATCGGGAATGATTGACAATGTATAATGAAATTACTTGGAAATAAAAGCCCAGTCCGGCGAAATTTTGAGGCTTCTCGAGTGATATTTAACTATAAATTTCTTTCAAATCTCATCGGAATTGTGAATACTAATCTCGAATCTTTCAGCCACCCACCCACTCCAGCAGAATATTAGGTAACTCGTGCTCGGAGTCAGAGGTCGGAGACTGGCAACTAGTTATTCCACTTTAGAAAACAAATATGGCGGGCTAGATGAAGAGAGAGTAACAGCATTTCCGGATGTTGTCAGTCGTTTGAAGGGCTTCGTTGGCATTAAACTTCAGCTTTAGCACTCAATATGAAGCAGGCGGTAGAATTCGAGGAGTGCTTGAAAGACTCTCCCCGTTTCAGGTAAGCAAAGATAAGATTCTTTATCAGAATTGAGGGACGTTATATGGAAGGACTCGCGATCGTAGGCGAGGCTTTTACTTTTCAATTGTTGCTATTCTTTGTAACATGACATGGGGTCGCGTTACTTCCCTTGTTTTCTCAGTGATAAGTGACTTCTTTTCTTATTTAGTTTGAAAAATCGTCGTGGGATTCCTCAGTTCAGTGTAGTTTTCAAATTATATTGGACAAATTTTCAGGTGTCATGTTTTTAGAAGTTTTTTTTTCGGGTTCAACTTTCGGTTGAACTTTAACTGCACGTGAAGTCATTCATGAACGCGTTATTTTTGAAGACATATGAAAAAAGTGCTCAGTTTTATCCGCTTGCTATAGAAACGGATATTTTCAAACGACATCATTCCTGAACAACTTTCAGACAGGTGTGAGCGGCATCAACTCAAGTTACGATTTTAATGGCTTCACACATGCTCGATAAATTGTTTCAGGTTTACAACTGCACTGATTAGACTGAGCACTAGAGAAAATGAAATAAGAAGCTTAAAATCCAACTTTGGTTAAATGTGGCTGATTTTGCCCAAAACTTTCATAAATTCTGGTAAGAAGTCAATTGTATTTAATTTTAGCTGGCCATGGGATAATTT